TTTTTTGACTAAGATGATCTAATTTCCTGATTTACACAGGAATTTAGGAACTATAGACAGCAAAAACCTCTGGTAGTTCACCATCTTTGCATATGTCAGATACAGGTTTAAAAATCGCCTTTGAAATCTTTCCTGATCTGATATCAATCCAATTTGTACAGGAAAAATGTATCTTACATTGGAAGAGTATCTTAGTTTCAGCAAAGTATATTTGTGAAATTGCACGATTTTTGTTTTTGTATACAAATTAGAAAATGACCCTGGCTGGTTAATTAGTGAGGTAGGTTTATTGCAAGTTGTGCAACTGGACCCTAAGGACTCTGATTATTAAGCTGTTGAAGCAGGAGGTGAGGAGCATGTAAAGCAGCCTGCTCCCGGCTCTTTGCTGCCCTATGTGTGCATTGGTGATTTAGGAAGAAGAATTGCTAATTTTCCAATAAGGGAAATTAGGGTAAGTGAGAGTTGGTGTTTTGATTGAGAGAAGCAATATTCAAAATATGTACTGAAGAATTAACCAAGAAGAATAATTAATACAAGCTGATCTTCACATTAACAAGTTATTTCAGACAAATAGGAAACAGGACGCTTGTTGTCAAAGAGAAGGGATACTATTTTGGAGTTTCACAGGGGAAAGTTTGCATGGTTTAAGAAAGGAGTGGTCAGACTCTGAAAACCAGGTGAGTCACAGGAAAAATCAGAGATCTAGAATTGGGAATACATTATCTACGTGGTTAATATTATTACATCAATCCAAACAAAACTTACATTAATACTTTTTGAGCATGTTTTAATGTTGGACCTGTTTTACAAGTCAGTGCATCTGCTTTCCATATAGACTACAAGGATTGCAAGATATAAGAAAGACATAGTAGTACCTGAGCGCTGTCATTGAGTTATTGAGCACCAACTGTGGTAGTCCCTGTGTTAGACTTTTTTCTAATGGATTATCTATTGAATTCCCTCACAACTCTATGTCATAGATCCTACTGTTAGCCTTTTAAAAAAAATTACAAATGAGGAAACAGCCACAGGTTGCTTAAATGATTTTCTCATTCCCGAGTACAAACAGTAAGTAATACAGTAAGCCTTCTCTATACGTGGGTTCCACATCTGTGAGTTCAACCAGCTTTGGATCAAAACTATTTGAAAAAAAAAAAAAGAATTGCATCTGTACTGAATGTATACAGACTGTTAAAAATGGCACTCCTGAAACAATGAAGTACAACTATTTATATAGACTTCACATCAGTAGGTAGTATACATGACCTAGAAGGGATTTAAAGTATCCAGGAGCTAAGAATAGAATATGTGCACATAGGGTGCCATGCTATCCAAGGGTATGAGCATCTATGGGTTCTGGTACAAAGAGTGATACTGCTCCCCACAGACACTGAAATGGAGTCTGGCGCTGAATCCTGGGACCATGCACTGCCTGCTATAAGATACTGCCTTCCAGGAGATTAGCAGACAGAAAAAAAAAAAAGAGAAATCAACATGGCAGTTAGAATATCACTTCATTTAGAAGCTGGTTTGTGATTGGCTGCGGGAAGATATTAATAGTGCTCTCAAGATGTTAGTAGTGCTCTCAAGAGTGAACAGGAAGTCAGGAAGTTGGGTGAGGGCAGACTAGCCTTGGGAAAGCAGGCAATGGGGGACGTTGGGGGAAGACACTGAGATTTCAGGGAGGGACCTTTAAGGCTTGTGTTAGGAGGAGGAATAGAACAGCAAGGAGGCTGTAAAATCAAATCACCTTCAGGAAGTAGGCAACAATGACCTGTTTCCTTCTGTCTTGACAAGAGTTCTTTTTTCCGTTTGTTTTGTTTGGTCCTTGGGCCTTAGGCTTGCTAGCAGGTACTCGTTCACTTGAACTACACCCCTCAGTTTTTCCATTTTTTGGAAGTATGTTACAACACTGCTTCTTTTATTCTTTATTAACTTAACTGGAAATCCTCTGCAATTAAAATTTTGATACATTGGGTACTTTTGAATTAAGTCAGGCTGGGATTTGTAATTCCTCAGGAAATATGATTTATGTCCTAAAAAGTTGTGTTTGTTTTTTTTGATGGAGAAAGATGATGTTCTCCAACCGATCTTCATTGCCATCAGTGGCATACGTAGCAATTTGTTCCTCAATGTTCTCCTTAACTAACAGAATACCCGTTTGTCTCAGCAGTGGTGTGATCAATCATTGTAGCTCTAAGCAGTTACAATTACTTTATTCCCCTTGGCTAGCAATTGATCTCCAGATATCTAGGTCACGAGTGCTGGGTAAATCTTTTGGGTGAGACCCCCAGGAGAGCTTCCGCTTGTCTCATATAAAGGGGCATAGACTTAGCTGGCATGGCCTTTATCCTTCACATGGCAAGCACTCCAGACATGATGCCCAGGGGATGGTCAGCCCCCGAATCCGATGAAAAACCAAGTCTATCTATCCCTGAAGGATGGTGTAGTTCAGCCTCAGAGGGAACTGGGTGTCCACTGCTTCTGGGCTGCCTGACTCCCCATTCCTCATTCTGTGAGATAGACATACTTGTTTAAGTTGCTGTTAGTCAAAACTTCTTTTTCTTACGACTAGGTGTAGTGTGTAGAGGAACAAATCCTTCTTGAGTTATTATATGTACGTAGTTTACAAGTATAGTAAATTTCAAGATATGATCATGGAGATTTGTCCTTAGATCATTTATTCTCTCTCTTTTCTTCCTTCCTTTCTTTCCTTTTTTTTTTCTGGTTGGTCATGGGGCTTGAACTCAGGGCATGGGCACTGTTCCAGAGCTCTTTTGTTCACAGCTCCACTTTTGGTTTTCTGGTGGTTATTTGAAGATAAGAGTCTCATGAACGTTCCTGCCCAGGCTGGCTTTGAACCATGATCCTCAGATCTCAGCCTTCTGAGTAGCTAGGATTATAGGTGTGAGCCACCAGTGCACCGCGGTAATTTATTTAGACATCATTAAGAGTTAGCACAGAAACCAAGAGGCAAATGCATCATGGAGTGATCTCACTGGATCACCTTCATTCAGGCAGTGCATCATTACTGAAATGTTACATGATTCTGTCTCCCCAATTAATACATTAAGTAAGCACTGTTATTTCCACAGTCTAAAGCATCTCAGTAAAAGAAGTTCAAAGAATTTGACTTATAATTTTCAGAAACATTTAGTCTTTGAAATTTTGACTTTCTCATCCTCTCTTTCAATGATTTGTGCAATTGTAGTTTATTTCCCATAGTTAGATTGGGGTCTATATGATCTTTGCATCAGTTGCATATAAAAATCTTCATAAAATATTTTGACAGGAAAGAAACTCAAGTACAAAGCCATCAAAGATTTTTTTTTTCACAGCAGAACTTGATCAGTTCAAGGGAATGTTTTAAGCTATTTGGTCCACATTGTAGAAAATCTTAATTGAAGAGATATTTCATGTCAAAATATTTATTAGCTATGAAATTGCTAAAATGAAGGTTTTCTGGGCTAGGATAGCATTAAGTGTAAGGTAATTGTCAGTTTTCTGAGGAGTTTCTGTTATGGTTACTGTATGTTTTCCATATCCAAATATTGGACATAATTGAGATATGGCTACTGAGATTTCCTTTTGCCCTGCATTATTTGTCTGTACACAAACAGGAGATGTAAAGCTTTTACAATGTGTAACAAATGAATTAGCAAAATCTGGTCAGAAGTATTCCCTTTTATATCAGAAAACTTACACAGATGTCATATATATTTTTACAATTTAGATTTGTGTTGATGATAGACCACCATGAAATCGTTACTCAATTCTGAGAAGGCTGTAGAGCTAAAAGAAAAAAAAAGACCTACCAGTTTAATAAGCAACAACAACAAAAGTCTAGACAGTACCTTAAACATTGTAATGATAGTAGAGAAAACAACATTAAAAAATTAGTCCAATTTACTAAAATTTCATTAAATACATGAATAAACATCTCTGCCTGTGACTTAGAAAGTAAATGCAATGTATCTCCATTTATGCAGAGATGATGTATTCAGTGATCTTTTTGCTTCATTCCTTCAGGCATGGCATTAGGCACAGAAAAATTTATGACCAGGTCAAATCTTTGGATCTTTTTTTTTTGTCAGTCTTGGGGCTTGAACTCTGTGCTTGGGCGCTGTCCCTCAGCTCTTCAGCTCAAGATGAGTTCTCTACCGCTTGAGCCACAGCACCACTTCTGGTTTTCTAGCGGTTTATTGGAGATAAGAGTTTCACGAACTTTCCTGCCCGGGCTGGCTTTGAACCTTGATCCTCAGATCTCAGCCTCCAGAGTAGCTAGGATTACAGGCGTGAGCCACCGGCGCCTGGCTTGGATCTTTTTTTTAAGGTTATATTCTATTGAATTATTCACAATTTTGTTTGCTGCTTTGGGTCAAGTCTGTTAAGAAGTTTCAGTTTCGGATTTTCTGTGGACATTATGTAAGAGGAAGAATTTGATTATTATGTTTAACTTCAAATGGACACATAGTAACTTTTTTTGAGCGTTTCTTAGGAGAATTTACCATCTTTGTGATATATTCCATTCTAAGGTATGTAGATTATTATAAATCTACTCATGTCAAGATTTGAGTTTTGGTATTGACTACCTCTCACAGACACTTGTATTAAAGCCCTAGTTCCCAGGGTCTAGGAGGTGTGTGGGGGTGTGGGTATAGGGGGGAGGTCTCACATGAATCCACAAGTCCCAAGGAGTCAGGGCTATGCTGGATAACTGGTGTCTTGTTCTAACTCTCACTTTTTGCTTCCTGGCTCATGAAAGGAGTCACACAATCACTTCCTTTGCCCAATACAATGAATTCATTCACCCGATCTTGGGCTGGAACTTCCAGAACAGAAGCAAAACATGTCTTTTCTCTTTTTATACATTAATGATCTCTGTTATTTCATAACCGTGACAAGAAGGTGACTAGCACATATGGCTTCTTTAAATAATGATTAAAGATGTGAATAAATGGGTCTGGTACTCTTCAAAGTCATGGAATCCAGTTAAGTACATGGATGTGTACTTTGGTAAGTGACATAGACCTCCCCTGGAGCTGTAGATTGTTCCTCCACTTACCTAAATTTGTTCTCATCCATGTTCTGCTCTAAATAGAAACCATTTTACTGGTTATATGCCTGATGCAGACATTGCTGTTGACCAAACCTTAAGGTCCAAGTCCCCTGTTTCCAACCCTTTCTCACTTCTTGGTCTCACACATCTTCTTCAAGGAACTCCATTTTCAGTCTTCTTTATCCAAGAAAAATGTCACAATTTCCTTTCCCATAAGACCAGTTGCCCCTTAGTGTGCCCTCTGACGTAGCATTTCAGCCACCATACATCAAAAACACGACATTAGAGTGAACGATTTACAACTCTGCTAATTCTCTTCAGGAAGGAATGACTAACATTTATTTTTTCCCCTCCAAGTTCTTTGTTTTACTCCCCTAGCACACTGCTTCAATTTAGCTTGATAAAAGTCACTGCTGTCCTCATGTCTTTCTTTAACATGGAAATCTTCCCTTCTAGTATTTTCTGTTTTGTGTAATAAATATTTTCTTAAAATTCTTTGCTAGACCTGATCAGGTTTCTTTGGGGAGTCATCTTTCGAAGGTCTCCCTCTGGAGGTGTGCTGTGAGTGGCTCCCAGGCTGAGCTGTATTTATTTCTCCTGTTCTTTATGCTTGCCTCAAGCTTACCTCAAGCTTACCTGGGAAAGCACCACTGCGCCCCACCGGCTGCTAAACAACCTGCAAAGACCTTTGTTGTGTTCTCATTGCATATGAATAAACCTAGTTTGACTATTAATGAGAACAAATGAGGCCAGGCCTATGATGTACAGAGTATGAATCCACTAACTTGTTATTCTATCAAATAGAAAAATTGTTCTCCACTGTGTGGCTCAGTTGTGACTAGAGGTACATTTTCATGTGCAGATTCACAAAAGGCTTATTATCCCACATTTCAAAGTCCTTCCCTCCCACCCTCCCTTCCTCCCTTCCTTCCTCCCTCCCTCCCTTCCTTCCTTCCTTCTTTCCTTCTTTCCTTCCTCCCTCCTTCTCTCCCTCCCTCCTTCCCTCCCTTCCTTCTGTCACTCAATATTGCTTTTCTTTATGATTCATCTGGGTCTTATCTCAATTGTCATTTACACTCAGATGACTCATCTGTATTTTTAGCTCAGGATTCTGATTGGAGTGTCAAACCATTAACTGTAGCTCAACTTGACATCTCCTTTTGTATATCTAAAAATAAACTAAATTAGCACTGGCAACTCAACATTCTAAACCCAGTTTCTTCCAGATTTGGCATCTAAGTAGATGATACCACTCCCTGTTGCAGTTACATTCACTAAAAGCTTAAGAATTCTTATTGATTCCATTTCCTCTATTTTATTATTGATTATTGAAGTTTATCTTTTCTCCAAGTTCTTTTTATTAACCACGTCCTGTAGCCTGTCCCTTCTGAATCTACTTTCCATTTCTACCAAGAACATTTCCTCATCCTCTACTGGTGATCACATAGTAGTTTATTACTACTATCCTTTTTCTATCTCATTATTCTTCAACCAGTTTTCCTTTGGAAATTGGAAATTCCACTTTGGAACCAGACAGGTCTTTTCAAAACAAAAGTTTGACCATACAGGCTTAAAATATTACATAAGAACATTGTTCTTATGACAAATATTTAAATTCTTCTCATGACCTAGTAAAAGATTTGTCTCAATATCTATTTATAGAAGAATAAACTTACACAGTTCTCAATATTTTCTATTAAATACTATTAGTATCTATCTATATTCTTGCTAATAGTTCTGTTGAATATAAATGTCAAGTGTGTTTCTGGTATAGGTTAGCTATCATCTATTAAATATCAAGGTTAATGGAGAGGCGGTGCAGTGACTTGCAGCCATTAAGGGAATAGAAGAGTCTAATCTAGGAAGATTAGTAATGATTTATTAAGTGAGTCATTGTGCTTTCCAGTTGATTGAAAGGGGGTTCTATTCCAGAGAACCACCTAATAATTTAGCTTTTTTTCCTTAGATTTTATGTTTTGCAACTTTAGGCTACTTTGTAAGAAAGAATATGTAGCAAATCATTTACTTAGTTTTTGTAGTCATAACAAATGTAATTCCTATAAATCACTCAGATATGTATTTTGCTGATAGAGTTTTCTTATAATTTATGACATGCACATGGTTTAAAGAAAAGAATAATTTAAAATCACATATTTTAATAATAAATAATGATCAATTTCATATGAATGAAGGCTTATTTCCTCTCCTCTCCCTTCCCCTTTTCTACTCCTCTCTCCTACCACTTGCCCCTGCTCCTTTTTTAGCAGAATGTCATAGATTTAATCACTTAAAATCAACAGAAGCATCTTGTAATTGTGAACATAGGGATCCAAGATCAAGACACTAGCAGCTTCATGTTTGGTGAAGGCCCACAGTGGCTCAGAGATGATGCCTTTGTATATTTGCATGCAGAAGGAACCACGCAGAATCTATGGGGCTTCTTTTCAGGTAGCTCCTGCTTTGTGAGGATTCTACCCCCATGACCTAATTGTCTCCCAAAGGTTCTACTTCCCAGTGCTATTGCCTTAGGGGTTTGGATTTCAGCATAAGACATTTCTGGGGTGGGGCAGGAGCTATGATTTGAACATTCAGAGCAAAGCATCTAATGGAGTTGGTATTAGACAGAATTGAAAAATAGGTAAATAATGTTTTAGAGATATATTCTTTTGACTCTATCTCCTAGTCCTGGGAGGAAGATACCATGTTTTTATATATGTGATCTAGGCAGAGAGTAGCATGAAACTACTAGGTGCTTGAAACGTAAGGGTCTAGGGAAATCAACTTACTACCCACTCTGTGCTTAGTCATTTGGTGATCTTGGACAAGCTAGTAAAGACTTAGTTTCCTTATTTATAAGTGATAATAACCCATGTTTTACCTGCTGGCCTCTTAAGGCACAGAGCAGTACCATGAGATTCTGAAGGAGTTAATAATTTTTTTTTTTTAGACTTTTGTACTCAAAGGAAGCACAGAATCCTCTTGATTTTCATAAGTGACAGTTTGCAACTTCCTACTGTTTTCTCACTTGATGTGTTTATATGGAAATGTGTAGGTTAAGTGGTTCTGTGTTTACTTTCATCTGGCTATTAATTTCGAATCAACCACTCAAAGGTTGTTGGCGCAGAGCGTTCATCTAATTGCTCTATTGTCATTTCTTCTTGTCCCAGGCAATGGGCCTCATCATGACCGTTGCTGTATTTACAATGAAAACAACGTGGTGGATGGTGTTTATTGTCTCCCAATAGGACACTGGATTGAAGCCACGGGGCATACCAATGAGATGAAACACACTACAGATTTCTATTTTAATATCGCAGGCCACCATGCCATGCACTATTCAAGGTAAAAATAGCGCCATGTTGGTAAGTTAAAAGTAGAACTGGAAGTGACAATGGGAATATTTACTGTGTTGAATATGGCAGTGGCTTCTTTTGGGGGGGGGGGAGGGAGAGTCTACAGACCTTCAGTGCTTTGAGGAGAAAAAGACAGTGAGTCAGAGTGTAAGCTCTTTTGGTTCTATACATGAAAATGCTTTTTTTAAAAAAAGGAGAATCCTTATATTAGATACATATGTTCTTATCAGTGCATTTTGTCAGGTTAGTAACCACCAATCTATTTAGATATTGTGAGTTAAAAATAAAAATGCACTAAAAATATCCTAGATGAGCAGTTGTATCATACGGACCAACAGATCAATGAGAAGTGGTGTATCCTTATAAAAATATATTCAAATAACTGTGTGGAAAACAAACCATGAGGTTTGGATGTGGTCATTTCCTTTATTACCTATTAATGTTTTAACGTATTTGTTTAAGTATTGACTAGCAATATATGTGATAATAAAAATACTGAAGAGAAAGCTAGATGAAAAGCAGAGCTTATGATACTTTTCCTTCATTCCTACTCATCAGATGTGATTATAGTTAATGACTTTATGCTTAGTTTTTCTGGAGTCTGAAATGAGATGTTTATAATTCATTTATTAATGTATTGGTATAAAATAGCTATTGATTGTCCTGTATTGCCTGTGAGAAATTCAGCTCTGTATTTGTCCTCTCTCTCTTCTCTAATCTCTAACGGATGTAACAAAAACTGCTATTATGACTTACTTTCATAAAAACTCTATTTTGTGATCCATCAGTTTTTGACAGTGTCTTATCTTGAAATTTCCTACTTTCTAAGATTGGGATTTTTGGGTCTCCATATTTTTTGACATTTACTTTCACCTACCAACTCTTGTTTTACTTTTTGCACTTTCAAAGTTCATAGAATTTAAAGTTTATTTAGTAAATATGAATGTTATTCATCCTTTGATACTTTGAAATTCAAAATTAAATTGCCAACATCTCAATTATCACTTAAATATTATTTACTATAGAACATGCAATATTTATACCATAGGCAAGGAGATATATTCTCATGTGTATGAAAATTTATTGCTTTGGTTAGAGCTATAATTAATAGAATATGAGCACTGGGAGTGAAAGAATATGCAGCTTCAAAATATTAAGAAATTAGTATTCTCCGTGAACACATCTTTCTGACTTATTCCTGTCTGATTTTAGCCTGACTGATTGAGTGGAAACAAATTATGAAAAAGAGAGGTGTAAAACATGATTTGTGGCTTTATGAACCAAACAGTGGATTTGATGGTACTTGCTATTTACTGAACATCTAAACCTGGAAACAAATATTTCTAAACAAAATAGGAAAATGGAGATTAAAAATGATACAAAGGTGTCTAATCCATTTGCCAGACCAACAAGTGACCCTAAATTTGCCATTGGTTCGGGTGCAGTGTTGCTGACGTTATGTTTTGAGCCTCAGCTGGGGAATATTGCATAGCCATAAAAAGAATGGTATCCTCTCAGCCAAACAGATGAAAGCAGAGCATGTTACAGTAGGTGAAACAGCCAGATGCAGAAAAACAAATCCCACAGGTTCTCTCTCATATGGAGGTGTTAAAAAAAGAGAGAAAGGTCATTTGTAAGATATATCATGATGACAGAGAGTTAGAAGAAGGAGGTTAGGTAATAAGTAGCCAACACAGTCATAGGAAGGAGTAAGTTCTAGTCCTCTACAGAATAGGGTGGGTGACATATGCACATGTGTGTGTGTGTGTAGAATTTATGATAACCTATGATGCATTTTAGCAAAAACTAGGTGTGCAAAGGCTCTAAACACAAAATAATAACAAGAGAACAGACATGTCAGTTACCCTGGTTTTACCAGTGTTTATTGTGCATGAGTATGAAATCATACTGTACTCTGTCAATATGTGTGATTATTTTGTGTTAAAACATTTTAAATATTTTAAGGAGAAGGAAGGAACTCTCCTGATTGGAGTACTGCACAGTGTATGCATGTATCAAATTACCATATCATACCCCATAAATTTGTACAATTAAAATAATAATTTAAGAAACTCAGTTGGTAGCAGTTTAATTAAACATCAAAGCCACTTTTGGATTTTGAAATTAGAAAGCTGTTATGGCTTTTCACTACTTTCACTTATGAAGGCAAAGTATATTTTTCTACATACTTAGGTTTGTAAAATAGACTATTGAGGCATGTGTCATCCTAGAGTAGATGTTCTTATTGCTTAATGATGAATTGAATTTTAATGAAAACAGCATAGCATTCATCTGAAATTCAGTGAAATATGCCATTACCAAAGAAGACTGAAATAAGATTTTTTGGTTGTATTTTTAAATTAAAGGAATACGAAAGACATCTGCTTGGATTTTTGCTTTTAGAAATAAAAGTGAGCACAAGTAACTTTGGAAATGTTGCTGTGTTCTAGTAATAGTTATGACAAGAAGAAATAATGACTTGAGAAGCAGAAATCATCTACTGTGTTGTAAATGCTGAACCCAAATGATGGGTCCTCATTAAAAATAAGAAGCCCATAAATTTAAATAATGCTATAGAGTGCAGAACAGGTCAGCCATTGAATGGAACATATCTATAATTAAAATGCAAAGTAAGGAGAGGGTAAAATATAACTGCATGCTTGGATAGATGCAGAAAGTATTTGCTATTCAACTTTGGCTTAAACTATTTTTTCTTATTGATAGATAAATTTCTTATTTAAAGATATTTGTCCTGGGCTTTCCTGTTAATGCAAATACCTTTTGAGGGAACAGCCAAATAGCAACTATAGACATTGTAAAGGTAGTTTGTGTACTAAGAAAACTTTCAGAAATCAAGTTTTATTCCAGATCCTAGATAAAGTGAATGTAGTATTATGATCTACTCAGCTGATGGGAATCCAGTTAGGACAAGACAGAAGGGCAGTCCAGAGACTTAGCACCTGCGTGCTCTGTGCCTGAATACAGTGTGTACCCGGGACACAGGCTATCCGTCTTTGCTGTGATGAGAGTGGACTGACGCTCTCCTGATCGACCATGAAACTGGTCCTGAACATGAACTTGAACATCTCAACAAAAAAGCCATCCTCTGTTCCTAAACTTCTCAGAACATTCTGTTCTGCAATAGCCTCAGGACCCGGCTGCCCAAACCAATGATTATAAAATGCCATGTAACCTGAAAGTCAGAGCCGTTGTTACTATGGGACCAAACGCATGAGAGACTAGCAGGGAAGAAGGAGCGAAGTGAAGGATAGAAATGAAAGAAGGGAAAGGCCAGAAAGACAAAGTAAATACAACAACAACAAATAATAACAAAATTGTCGAATAAGTATAAGGGCCAAGAGAGTGTTTTACCGTTAGCAATACAATATTGAATTCTGAGCTCCCCTTTCGTTGTGGCATTCAGGGCCTTGTGAGTTATAAGCAGGCATTATACCACTGCAGCTTGCCCCAGCTGATTTGTCTTGGTTACATTTGAGACAGGGTCTTTAGGTGGAGGCTGAACTGGACTACCATCTTCCTGTTTATACTTCCTCATTGTTGGAGTGTCCAGGACTTTCAACATGTCTACCTTTTCATTGGTCCAGATGGAGCTCCCTGTTTTTTTGCCTGGACTGGCCTCTAACAACAATTCACTTGATCTCTGCCTCCTGAGTGACTAAGATTTTAGGCATGAACCACCATACTTGGCTCTCACAATCTTTGGGCAAATTTCATGCAGCCTGACCATCAAAGATATTCAAAAGGGCCTTGTAGATCAGAGGTGACTGGAGGCTTCAAATACGGTATATGACATTTTGAGGTATATATTATGTATAACAATAGTATTTTTATGTATATAAATATATGATATATAAAATATCATGTTATATATTATATACTATATATATTTATGAATATATAACATATATTATTTATATAACATATATCATGTATATTAATATATACATTTATACACATATAAGTATATAAATTTATTTATACTATACTTATATTTTTATGAATAATATATTTATATGCAATTTATTTTAAATTTATTATACTTACAATATAGTTATAATTTACATATAACTATAGTGTATGCTAATATACACTATATTATATATTACATATGATATACTAATATGTATTGTATACATTATATAAACATACATATTTTTATATAAAATATATATAATATATTTTTTATAAATATATTAAATTATATGTAAATATATTGTCTATGTTCTATGTAGAACTATAGTGTATGTATATACTACATATATTATATATTCATACATAAATAATATGCTCTATTAATAATATATTCATAATCTAATTATATTTTGCATATTATAGCATATATTTTAAATATTTATAATTTTAATATTTACAGTATTTTAATATTTATAATAAACATCTTCTCATCAGGATGTTCTAAATACTGACCATGCCCCTCTGTAATGTTACTCTCCCTCTCAATTCACTGATGTGTTCTCAGCCTTACCTTCACTTCACCTGCTTGGTGTGAAAGTTACTCCTTGAAGCCTCCCAAATTGGCTATAAAAAGACTACTTCCTAACTCAGAGCGATGTCTGATTTAAATCTTTGTATCTCGTTACTGCTTTTTACCTAACGGATGCTCAGATGTGTAGGTTGCATGGGTGAATTTTGTGAAATGTAGTGGCTCATTATTCTTTTCCAATCCAGAACTTTTGTTCAAGGCTTTTGCAACTTTCAGGTAGGTGTCATGTGGGGTCAGAGCACTGGGAAGAGGAGATGAAAACCCAGTTGCTACACAGCTGTAACTTGGTTACCATCAGAGATATTACCTTCTTCCCTTTAGATTATCCAGACTGCTGGAGTCTGACTATGCTTTGTCAGAGGAAACCAAACGAGGTGATGTTTCCAGTGAGAACTAGTGGATGGAGTGGGCAGTTTTGAGTGGAGGAGAACAAAGACTCTAACCCAAGAAATGTTAGAAGTATAGAA